CAGGATAACATTTGGTCAATTTCCTATTGGATTTTTAGGTTAGACTTATAGATTGTTTTTAACATTTCAGTTGTTTAAATAATACTGAAATGTCGATATTTGTACTTAAAATCTATATGTGCCTCTAATGTCATCTTTAGAATTACTTTCTAGATGTGAATTTACTGAGTCAAGTGGTATAAACATTTTTAAGGTTCTTGATATATATTATAGTACATTATACCCGAGATCTCATAAATTGTAAGGTGCACCATTGTTATGTAAAACTAAGGAAGAAAATGATGCAAATTAAACATAATGCTTTGTCATCAGGTATACCTTTTATTTCATAATTATTGAAAGAGTTTTCTAGATTTATTTAAGCATACAATCAACTTGTATTTTATTCTGTGTATCCATAGAAGCAAAACCACTGCTAAGGTATTCACTCCTAAACTTCTTCATTCTTTGAAGTCTCTTTTTGACTGTGTGATCCTTGGCCTGAGTGGCACCAGGAGCATTTGAATGCAACGCAACATTAGAGACCTCCTATTAGATGCTAATTCACAGAATCGAAAATGTCTGTAGGCATTTTATTTTTTTTAATTAATTAATTAATCTTTTATGGGGACATTGTTTAATGAAATCCAATAAGTTTCAGCTGTACATTTTAACAGTAAAATATATATATATTTACACTGTGTGTTCACCTCCTATCGTTAGATTTCTTTCTGTCACCACATACTTGACCTCTTTAAGCAAACAATCATCTTATATTTTATTCTTGTGTACCCGTAGGAGAAGCAAAACCCTGGCTAAAGTATTCACTCCTAAACTTCCTCATTCTTTGGAATCACTTTCTGACAGTGTGATCCTTGGTCTGAGTGCCACCAGGAGCATTTGAATGAAGCATTTTTTTTAAAACGTGTGGTTCTCGCTCCAGGATTTTCTTCTAACAGCCGACATCCGTTCTTCTAAATTTGATGCGTATGGGCAGGCAATGACTACTAAATCACAACTGCTGCCTGGCTGACAGTGATTATAAAACACATCTCAATTTAGAGATATTAACATGTGAGAAAAGCTATTTCTGAATATGAATGAAATATGCTATATTTCAAAGAATCCACCGGAAAAGTTTAACCAATGTGTATTCCCACCAGCACTACATGAAGTTACCAATTTTCCTTAAACCTTAGTCAATTTAGGGAATTTCTATAATCAAAAACTTTCCAATTTGATAGCTGACAAGTAGTATCTCATTTTAATTTATATTTATTTTACTATTAGATCAGCTGAAATTTATTTTCATATATTTTTGGTCATTTGTATTTCTTCTTTTGCCAATTGTTCATATACTTGACTTTTTTTCTGTTTTGATGTTAATCTTTTAACTGTTAAGAGTTCTCTATATGCCTCTTAATAAATGATGTAGGAAGGATGTTCATTTTTTATCTATAATATGTTGCAGTTTTCTCCCCTAGTTTTTAGTTTGATTTTTAAATTTAAATTTACAGGATTCTTTTTATTACATGCAGAAGTATCTAATTTGCATGCAGTCAAGTGAATTAATATTTTCGTGATTTCTTCCCTTGCTCTTATGTTTAAAACGTCCCTCTCAGACGTGAAATGAAATAAATACTAATCTTTATTTTTTCTAAATGTTTTATGTTTTTTTCTCTTTTTAAAAAAATTAACTCTTTAATGCATATGAAAATTACTTTGGTAAGTATCTAACCTTATTTCTCCCCAAAAGTCAATGAATTGTATCAAGTCTTCCCTTTCCTACTGGTTTAAGCTGCCAACTTCTTAAAATATAGACATTTTTATGCTTCCTGTGATTTGTATATGGGATAGCTGTTGTGGTCTGATATTTTGTCTCTCAAGTTGTGCACCAGTGTCATATAATTTTAATTATTAATTAAATTCACCATATAATTTATCAACCCAACTAAAACGTTTTTGCAAGTGAATTATGCCTGGATGACAGGCACAAATCTGGGTCCTGGGGTACCCTAGTTATTATGGTTTTATAATGAATTTTCATATCTGCTAGAACAAGTGTCCCATTATGGCTTTTATTTTCAAAATTGGTCACTCTTCTCAAGCACAAAAATATGCAGAATCAAGTAGTGAGAAAATGAATATCTAAGTAGTATTTTTGAATAATTCACATACATCATTAATTGCTCAATTAAAAAAATTAAGTTAATTTTGATTTTGTTGTTATTTGTTAACTCTGTGACTATTGCTTTCCACTTGAAGTTACATGCAGTTGAGAGACACTCTGCAGGGCCATTGACCTGGCTCATGCCACCTCTCTCTTCCTTTGGTTTCTATAGAGTTAACCTTTTGCTTAGTCTTTCCTCAGAACCTTCTAGCTAACTGTTATTTCAGGTACCATTACATCTCTTAATAGCTGCCATTCCACTTTCTTACCCTATTCACCTGCTGGAGGCATCCTCATTGCTAATTAGTACAGATGAACAATATGTAACAGAGATTCAGTTCAGACACTTCTCAAAGTTAAGAATACAAAATCTATGAATTCCTGCCTGTATGATCAGAGGTCTAAGCCAAGTTTGACAGAGGAACATGGGCCTTTTGCCATAAAACCAGAAAGAAAGAGATCTTGCCCGGGTCCCACATTGCTTCTTGCTATGGCAGAAGGCGGGCCTGTTTAAATTTAATTTGTTTATTTATTTTGCAGCATTTATTCTCTGCAAAGTAAAATGCTGGCTGACATAGGTTCTCCAAGGCCATCACAATTCCTTTCCATCAAGCACTGTGGAATGCCCCCTTTCACTCCTTATAGAAACAATGTTATAAATCTTGTGTCTCCAGGAATACAAAACACAATACTTTGTATACAGGAAGCTGATTTGCAAATGATTGTTGAAAAAGTTTTAAATGACTTTACAGTCAGTGTCCTTTAAGACAAAGTATACCTTTGAGCTTTTTGTTTACCATTTTTTATATTAATTTAATTTTTAATTTTTTTAAATTTATTTTTTTTACGTCTATAGCATCTGGTATTCCTAGGTGGTCTCCTATCCAAGTACTAACCAGGCCTGACCCTGTTTAACTCCTGAGATCAGATGAGATCTGGCACGTTCAGGGTGACATGGCCATAGACTGATACTAATTTTAATCTGGTTTTACTAACAAAAACACTTTGGTAGAAGAGTGAGACACCACAGACCCTACAAAGACTTAAAGAAGGTTCTGGTGGATAATCCTAGAGCTTTTTTCTAAAAAACTAAGATTTGGGGTCACAGCTTTATTTTAGTTGTCCTTTGCCTCTTGTCCTTTTTGTCCTGTCCCAGCCTGTAAGTCTACAGATAGGTGTTCTCCCTGACTTTCCCTTCTGCATCTTTTTCCTTAATCACTTTCTTGCCTTCTACTCAGATCTAATCCACATTTTAATAAAAACCATCTAGCTAGAATGTCTTTTTCTTTTTGCAACACAGCTCACCACATACCTTTCTCCTCTCTCTCTCTCTCTAGAATTCGTATGTTAAAAGTAATCACGTCTGGCTTAACAGACTCCCTGTTCTACTTTGCAATGCTCAAGTTCAGGAAATTCCCAAGTTTCAACATAATGCGTTTCCAAAGTTCTTTGCTAATAAGTTGTTTGGGACTTGGAACAAATTTTTCCAGCAAAAGATAGCTGTAACTGGTGTTTACAGTTCCTAGTCCAGCCTACAACAATTTACTCATTGAACATACTATACATTTGCTGAGTCAAGCATTTGCTAAGTGCTGGTGTTTGAGAATTTTTGTGTTCATCAGATTGCCCTTCGGTGCTCTGCTGTTTAGATTGGGCATGTTCACTCCCCTGACCTCCTTCTCATAAATCATCTGCAAGGTTTTTGCTTGTTCCTGTAAACAAGGTCTTTCTTTAGCGCTATCTTTGCACGTTGTAGCCCTCTCTACACAGTTCATCTGTAATACATCACAGTAATTTTCTGAACGCCCAGGTGAAGCAATGATGATTTGTACCCGTTGATCAAAATTTAGCCACATCTCTGTGAAGATTTGAGGCATGCCATGGACTATGGGATGCGATCCATTGCATAAGGAATAAAACACGATCTTCAGAGACAGCAGAATTTCTTGGGTGGTGGGGGGCAGGTTATCTTTCAGGTTGTTTCCTGGAATATGGTTCCTGGTTGGCATACTGAAAGGACCAATATTGACACTGAATGAACAATGAATGAATGAATGAATGAAAACGTACAAATGATTGGCAAAGGGCTACAGGCAGTCACCTGGGCACATGCTCTCAGTATTTCCCAAGGTTTTGAAGCATGAGTAGGAACCTCATATTACACTATTTCCCTCCTGTGAGGTCACCAGAAAGGCCCAACTTTTAGCACATCTGCGACCTCGTTTTGCTTTGTAGAGTTCAGAGAGAACAAAGTCATGACGTTGTTTTACTGGGCATTTTTCTTCTTTACCAAAAGTGGGTCAGTGGAGGCTTTGTATATCAGCTTTGAAAAACAAAGTAACCAGGACTATTTACCCCAGGAGGCTAAGAAGCCTCTCACAAGAACTTTAAATATATTTTGTTTCCTCTTTCGATAAAAAACGTGCCTAGCACGGACCATCCTTGGACTCGGGGCTGCCTGTACTCTTGGGTAGCTTTGGGGTTTGAGTTTTAAAACCAGCTTCTGGCCTGACAGTGAGCCTGCTTCCCACTGCTGTTGGGGATGCGCCAGTGTGGGGTGCACATCCCTGCAACCGCTTCAAGCAAATCTCTCCCCACTAAGCGAGGAGAGAGGGACAGAAGAACAGCGCTCCGGAGCTCCGATGTATGGACTGTGGTTGCTAGCAGTCCCTCGTTGGGCTCTCTCTTCTCCTGGGGGCCAGTCACTCTCCTGGCGACCAGTCCCAGGTACGAGAGCATCTGCAGAAGAGCCCGATCCGTGCCTCGCCGGTGGGGGGCGCTCTCCCGTGGGAACGGTCGGACGCCTTGGGCGGGGACGCGGCCCCTCCGCCCCCTCGGCGCCACCCCTCGCTCCGCCAAACTTTCCTTGGGTTCCGGGCGCGTCTCAGCGGCTGCTGGAAAGGAGGCGCACCCTGGTCGCCTGCGTGTCCTCTGCTGCTTGTCGCGCCCAGCGGTAGCCCGGCACTGGTCGCCCCGTCGCGCACTGCCCGAGGGCATGCGGCAGCCGCGGGGGTTCCCGCTCCCGGGCTCGGTGGCGCGGGCGAGCGTGAGCGGTGAGTGGGACGCTGGGCGCGGGGAGGGTTCCCGGAGCCGTGGGCGGCCGGGGCGCGCGTGGGGAGGCCGGGGCGCAAGGGCCGCCGCCGGGCCCAGCTTTTCAGAGTTGCCTGTCATCGGGCCCGGGTCCCAAACCCACTCCAAGCACCTGGGATAGGACTCTCCGGGCGGTGTGTGGCGCATCTTGCCCTTTCTCACTTTTTCTAGGAGTTAAAAGCAATCGGGATGCCAAAGCCGCGGTGCGTCCGCCCCTGCTGTGGCTGGGCACAGGGCTTAGAGAGCAAGGCTCCGCTCTGCTTTTGCGCAGGTGCTTCTTTTCCAAGCTTCGTCTTATAGCCGTCGATGCGGAGCCGAGGTTCTCCCGCTGAGCATAGGCATATAAAATTTTTCAGCCTCCACTAACGCCTGGTACGATGATGTGTCAGGGAACAGCTCGAACCACGCAAGGCATCTTTGTTCGGGAACTAGTTATTATTAACTAGTAACACTGTTGGGGGGTTGTGCTTTCTGAGTAAATGAAGGTCCCTGCAGCAGACAAAAGTGCTTTGTTCCGTTGCAGTGTTACTTTATTGCTTTCCCTCAGCAAGTTGCGACTACCCAGAATTGCTTAGAAATTTCTCAAGCATGTAATTTGAGGAGTGACTGTGAATATTTGAAACAATTTAATCTTATTCGGGTAATCATTAAAACGGCCCTGAAAAGCATTTGTAGGTCAATTTTTAAGTGAGTAATTTCCACGAAATGTTTCCCCCGTAATTTGTTATTGCCATTGTAACACATTTTCCTCCTCCTTTGCTGCTCAGAGTATTACCTGCGCTTGGAATCTTAATGTAGAAGTTAAGGGCCGCTTAGTTTCTCACTCCGTGTGTGTGTGTGTGTGTGTGCGCGCGCGCGTGTGTTTTAAGTTGGAAAATAAAGTAAATGTCAGTTACAAACAGATAATACCTTTACAAGTAGGTTATTATTCCATGCACTGTAAGGCATTTCATCAATGCATGGACTTTTGTATTGCTAAGGAGAGTTGTTGGGTTTTCTGGTGAAATATCTACCAATAGTTGCTAAGCCTGCTTCCAGTGAGACACTGGATCCACTTTTGTGTGGTTTAAGTCCAGGCAGTAGAATTTTCCTTTTTTCCCCAACCAGAAGTGATACAGTTGGAAACACACAACCTTGGCTCTGTTAACACCGTGCTTGTCTAAACAAACTGGGAGACCAGCGAGCAGACCCTGCCAGTGAAGCTTATGTGTTTGAGATAAGCTTCCAGAGTTGTCTTTTGTGCCTTGAGACTGTATGAACCCAGTCAGTATCCAGACCCAGTTACTGGACATCTAACCTTCTGGACATAACTTAATTGCTTGTCACTCTCATATAACTAGGAACATAGAACATTTGGCTACATATTTCTTGCTTTCTTTTTTCATCTGTAAAATTTAAAACTTGTAGCTTTAACTACAAATGACACACCCTCTTTTCTAAATCTGACAAATGCATAAATCAAATACCAGACTCCTTCTATGAGATCAGATTTATTTTAGATATCTGGCTGTTTTATAAGATGTTTTATAGAACAGATCTGTATGTTTTCTATGAATGAAGACTGACATGAAAACATTAAAATGTGTGATTTTTTTCATGTATGTTCATCAGAACTTTTTGAAAGTCTACAACATGTTCATTCTCATTATTCCCAAACACGCACACACAGAGGAACAAAATGCATAGACAGCACTGTAGCCAGGCAGCAGCCAATGCACACACTCTCAGAGTCATGCACACATGCCTGAGGCTGGGCGGTTCTCTCCCAGGGTCACCCTTTC